ACAACACGTCGGAGCGTCCAGGAGCAAAGGAATCTTGGGTTTTCACTGGAATCTAGTTCCTCCAGCATCGTGTAGCCCACCGTCGGTGAATGGCGGTCCAGAAAGGTCGAAACTGGTCTTCTGCAGCATCTCGCAGTCCTGCGAGGCACACTGAATACGCCTGTCATGTATTCTACAAATAAAAATCACGAAGTAGTGGACTTTACAGTGATGAGTCTATCCTGTATGCTGCAAAAGACGCAGGAAATGTGACTGGTGTCCGTACACTGGACGCCAATGTCATCCCAGTCTTCTCCTGCAGGATCTGTTTGACATTGACATACCGGTATGCAGTGGGTCGACATTGGCCTGGTTTGGCAGCTATCTGCCTGGGTGGATGTAGCAGGTTTGCATTGGCGCGTCGTCCAGTCCGACATTTTCTTGTAACTGTGGAGTACCGGCAGGGTTTGAGCGGTTGCTCGTGCTGTGAACACATCTCTACTGCCTGTCTCGTCCTGGAAGTGCCGTCTCGCCGCTTCCCTGCTCTACAGTCACGCTGTTATTTCGCTTTGTTTCGTGGTGCAGCTCAAAACCTGCCCAAACAACTGTGAGCTCGCAACATGGTATGGACAAATTGCACCACTCATGCTGGTTAACTAAAACCGGGATAGTCGAGTAAGCGAGTTCACTCCCTGGGCCATGGCAAGATCTGTTCAGCGCGGGCTATTCCAACCTCCAAGTGCATAGTCACCGATCGATCCATGCGATGGTGGTTGACCTACAACGAGCCAAGGTCTACGAGTACAGTCGTCCCTCTCTAATCCGGCACTTTATAATCCAGCACCCTCGATAAACCAGCACAATTTTCAGTAGCCAAAATGTCCCCTTCATGTACATTGCAGCAGTAAATCAGATTTGTTAATCCAGCACCCTCCCTAATCCAGCAGATTTTCGTGGCACAAATGGTGCCGGATTATAGAGGGACCACTGTACTACTATTGGATGCTGTCTACATCAGTGCAGTCAACAAAATCAAAGTGCCTCAGTATGCCCCAGAACAGGGCATGTGCATCTATAGCATGACACAACAGGGGTTCTGGCGGCACCTGTCAAACAAGCAGTAGCGACTAGTGCCAGCTACCTATTGGAGGCTAGCCGCTACAGTCTGTCACTGGAGATAATTATTATGTTCACTGTTTAGACTGAGCACAGTCAATGATGCCCAATCAATCTGCCCAATGTGTGTTGTGTTCCACCTAATTATAACGTCCCATCGCATCAACCCTACTACACGCACATGTCGTCACTCTAGCACGACTTGTGTTATTATTGTTTATTTTGATTCGCACGATAAATAGAGCACAATAAACGTTAACTTGACCGAAGGTTAAAGGCGACTGCAGATAGAGGAACACATCGAGGTACAGGTACCGGCATCAATACAGTATCAGAGAGAAACAAACAAAAATGAGAGGTACGCAGAAAAAACTCTCGTAAGCCCAAGGGGAAGTGGTTGATGAGGGATGAATGCACTCTCCACGCTCGTCTACACTGTTCGTGGAAATGCACACATACATACAATAATATACAACATAGCAATAGCATGCACAGAACCGAACAATTTCATGTTCACACATGCAAGCACAGACCTGAACATTAGTACCAAAAGCCGATACAGACAATATCCCCATACACACAGACGCACACACACACACAATGTCCCATGTATGCGCCCGTGGCGAGAAAAGCACGCAAATCTAAAAATGCACTGGATGTGAACCCACAGATTTTCTCTTATAGCAACGATAGCGGATCTGATTCTGAATGAAACACACACACAATACACTCATTGAATGCCCATCCGCAGATGATGGCAGGTCCTGAAAGAACAGGCAGTGTTCCAGTGATGGGGAACAGAACTTCGAGTGGCGAGTGAGGTATACACACACACACGTGCGTGCGCGGGCACACACCAAAGTATGAAGAAATAGAATCAACATCGTAGTATTCATTGGTTGGGGGAATGGAAAGGAAAATGAAACATTGCTGTAGGTTATTGTTGTAAGGACACTGGGAGCACAACAGAAAGGTAAGCAACTTGCTTTGAAGCAAAGAAAGTTATTATTCCACGGATCTCAGAAGGAAGGAACGTTCCAGAATGCTGCACTGGCAACAGGCGGCCTGCATGTGCGCGACCCCTGCAGTCGGTCCAGCTGCCGGCCTTGCAGTGCTGAAAAGAATGTGCAGTACAGCATGTCACATAGTGGCGCAGCCTGGACAAATAGGCGCTGGGAAGTCCTAGTTATGTGCTCACCTACACCACGATGCACCAATCTTCTGAGCTACTTTGGCAACAACTTTGTCCACTTGAGACTCCAATGGGCTGAGCCAGTTGTTGAGGGCTGCATCAAGGTGGACGGCAATGACCGCTGATGGCAAGGCAATCCATGACACACAGTCACTAGGGCATCGTCAACATGGCGCTGAGGCTGGATCGATAAAATCAACCTTTAGGCTGCCGCTGGGTTGACAACGAGGCCGCTGTCTCGAAGCTAGTCAGTCAGCCTGGTCACCGCCATTGACGAACCAGCCGCCACCGCCAGCAGTGGCGGTAGGTTGTGACAAGTGTGGTGCAATATTGTCAGCAAATTCAGTACTCAGGATAAGATGAGTGACAAAGGGAACGTTGTGTTTGATAATATTGAAGTGAACAGGGATGATCACAAACCCTGCGCGTACTCTACCGTGAGTTACAAGAAAATTCCCGACTGGACGACGAGCAAACACCAACCTGCTACATCCAACCAGGCAGATACTATTACGATAGCTGCCAAACCAGGTCAATGCTGACCTACTGCATAATGTCAATGTCAAACAGATCCTGCAGGAGAAGACTGGGGTGTTGGCGTCCAGTCACTGAGTGTACAGACACCAGTCACATTTCCTGCGTCTTTTGCAGCATACAGGATAGACTCATCACTGTAAAGTCCACTACTTCGTGATTTTTATTTGTAGAATACATGACAGGCGTATTCAGTGTACCTCGCAGGACTGCGAGATGCTGCAGAAGACCAGGTTCGACCTTTCTGGACCGCCATTCACCGACGGTGGGCTACACGATGCTGGAGGAACTAGATTCCAGTGAAAACCCAAGATTCCTTTGCTCCTGGACGCTCCGACGTGTTGTGATATCTGCCAGGTGCGCAGTAACTAGTATTTTCATCGCTATAGCGAGGACGACGCCGATCGGCAAACTCTCGCTCACAGCCATCACCAGCCTCTCAAATCCATCACTTGGCATCCCCCAGTGGTATAGGAGAAAGCCAAAACAGCTCTCAACAAACAAAAGCTAAGGACGATGGAAAGAGAGCATGTCAAAAAGAAGACGAACAGTATGAAGTTCAAATGGGTTTGAACACTCGTACCACCAACTATACCACTTTCAATAAATCGTGACGCCATTTTGTTTTAACATGAATATCGCGGATTATCCTTAGGCCTAAACAAAAAATAGGCTTGTTTCCGGTCGGCAACCCCTCAAAAAGGAGACTCGGTCGGCCGGAATGAAACTTTTTTTGGATACTTTTTTTTGGTTCCTCAATCGTTGTGGTATTGATGGACAAGAGCACCTACACATGTACATAATTGTACATATATCATGGCAAGGATCAATGTCAAAGTTAGTTGACTGACTCACTGTTCTTGTACAGCATGGGGTGTATTCCTGTTTTCGTACATTCTGAGAAATCAAGCAAACAGTTCGAGTCCTTCCAGCTCTGTTATTCTAGCTCGTATCGACCCCGGAGATTTTCGAGCCGACAGCTGAGAATCTCTGCTACCTTGTAGGTGTTTCGATTGTGGAATTCGGTTGAGATTTGACTGAGTTATGACTCGTTGAGTGCACTTGCACACATGGCATTGCCACCGTTTGTATACATTTGGGACCAAAAAAAGTTTCAGAATTTGGGAAAAAGTGGCCCGGTCGGGCGACCGGAAACAAGGTCATTATTTGTTTTGGCCTTACCTATCCACGATGGGAATTAACCGAATTGCGTGACCCATCCTTTCAATGTTCTTATCTTTATTTTTTAACTTTTTCACCTGGACTCCTCCTTGGTTTCCCTTTTCTCTCTAGCTCTTCTCTTGTACCTTCTTGCTATTATTCTTCTTGCTTTGAATAAAACAAGTCGATGAGCTCCAACACTCCTCCGAGGCGCAAACCAACAACCTTCCAGCTTGGAAGGCTCAGGTTCGAAAAGGTCCAAGAGGGGAAGGAAATTTATAATAGTTTTATTATCCCTAGCTGCTTGTCATCATTCTTCAGTCATGTAGTACATACATCATTGTACTAGACTACATGTACCTGGATAATAGTACATGTACATGACTCGACTGATGAATGATTATGTAGCAGCGAACTCGAAAGTGTCCCACTGCCACTACTAGTGAACCACGCACGCACACTGATGCCGGCCGGCCACTTCTTGACAATCATGTACAACGTACGTGCATAACCGTTCCCACAACTCAGTTCATAATACATGTCATGTACATTGTACACCCACACACAAATCCAACATCAACAAGGTACTTTTACAGGCCACTATACAAATGTACATGTACTACTACTTCAGTAGTAAAACAGAGAGGTTCCAGGCTATCCAATAGAGTGCTCAATACCGAAAAGCAGAGCTACATGTAGTATGCACATGTGCATACTACATGTACATACATGTACTACATGTACATGATTGTCATGTACATGTACATGATTGTACATGTACATGTACATGTACATGTAGATGTAGTATGCACATGTGCATACTACATCTACATGTACATGCACATGTGCATACTACATCTACATGTACATGCACATGTGCATACTACATCTACATGTACATGCACATGCACATGTACATGCACATGTGCATGTGCATGTACATGTAGTATGCACATGCACATGCACATGTGCATGTGCATGTGCATGTAGTTCAAACAATAATAATTGAGCCCTGTGATGAGAAAAGGGACCAAATGGCTTTTTTTACTCAAACCGAGCTCTAAACATCAGAAGAAAGCTGGTTTCATGCAGAAAACGATGCAAAAAACAGAGCTGAATTATCTCAATTTTTGACAAAGCTACGGTCAATCTTCTAAGTGTCTTTTCAGATATTTTGCAGCCATACGAAGAACAGGATCATACAAAACTTTGAGGACTTATCGACACGAAATGTATGGGAATGTTTGAGCCTGCACACAGCCTGTAGTTACTGGCAATTGACACTGACATTTGACTGGGCCAAGAGGAAAAACTGTACAAGGTAATACTGGCATGCCACCACCATCAAACACACAAAGATGGAGCAAGTCCACGTCCCGAGACATTAAAAATACAGCAAGAAAATATACAACCAGCAGCAATTTGGCATTAAAAAAGTTTTGAAGTAGCCGTGAGGTAGCAGAGTCTGTTACATTACTCCTCCACCGGAGAAGCACTAGTAGCGGCACTAGCAGACACATGCACAGCTGGCTTCGGGCAGAGCTCATCCTGGAATTGGTCAGGCACATGCGGGCGGATCTGATTATAGAGGTATTGCTGTCGTTGTTCGGATAGTCCTGGTGCTTGAAGGACTGGGGGCATCCCTGCGGCAACAAGGGCGTCTTTAGACGTGGTGAGCACCTCCACATCGCTGTAGGTGTCTTCCAGGGATGCCTTGACACTGACAATACCGGGCTTAGCTGCGTCGAATACCATGTGCTGAACCTTGCGGATTCCTTTCACTGGCTTGAAATGTTGAGCCAGAAATGTATCCCAGGCTCTCCATTCCAAACCAGATCCAGGAATCAGCTGGGCCTTGTTGCAAGATGCGCTTTCATTGACCACTGCCACCAGCTGCCCCATGGTGTAGCAGTCGCTACGCCGGAACTTTTGCTTCAGCAGGCCAAAGCAGCCATCGACAAGGCACCGGGTATGGCCAGTCAACATGAAGGACAGTTCAATACGGTCATGCAGTCCCATAATCACCCTCCAGCAGAAATACGCTACGATAGTCCGATTCTTGTTCTGGCCTGCGCAATTATCACAGTGCAGGAGGCAGCCTTTCTCATGTAGTCCATAGAATGAAAAAAAATGGTGCAGCATGGAGGCCACCGCGTTCGGACCATGACTCGACTTGCCGTCTTGCCCGATGGTGTCTGACTCGTCGATCAGGTAGTTGACCTGCTGAGGCACAGCTTCATTGTTCACACCAAATATTTGCACCTTACGAGGTGCCTTAAAGTACAGGGGGCCCTCCTGACGTGCCGACTGCGGCAGTGCCACGTTCTGGGCAAAGTCGAACGTGTAGTGCGGGTGGTGCAGATCGCGTGAACATGGCTGGCTCAGCTGCTGCTGGATAGTCGTACATGCATCAAGCTCTGCCCGGGCCTGTAGTGTCGCTTGACGGTAGTAGTCACGCTCTGCTTGCGTTGCGTCGAGGTGTTGTTTGAATTCATCGCATGCTGCACTCTTCTCGGGTTCCGTCCGTGCTTCCTGAATCCGTCGGCGGAAATTCTCACAGCGCGAGCATACGTCAGTGCGCGGCGTCATAATCTGAATGTTTGGCAAGCAGTCAAGCCAAACGGACCGAAATGTGTGGTAGCCCACAGCCCTGATGCCTGATTCCTCTAATGAGGTCACATAGCACTTGTGGATGGATTTAACCGTTGATGACGCTGGCAGATAAGTTGGCGGTGCTCCAGCTCGCCCTCGAGTCGGTGCTGGCTGTGGTATGCCGAAGCGCTCAGTGTAAGTTTTTAGAAATTGCACAACGGCAGACACAGTATCGTACGACAAAGCATGTTTAGGCTTCCTGCCGACATTGCCATGGGTCCGTGGCACCAGCCCATTCTCCTCCAAGTGTTTTTTCAGATTTTTTAGTTGCTTCGATCCGATGTTGTACAGCAATCGAAATCCACCGGCGCAAACCTCTTCGCCTTGGTAAGTATACCGATGCCATTGCTTCTTTCTCTTCTTCCCATGAGTCGTGGTGTCAGTAGAGTACTTGGATGACTCAAGAAGGCCCAAAATCACCAGCTCCTTCTCCCCTTTCTCCATTTCTGCGATGTTGAGCTGCAGCAGTCGAACATCTTCTGCATCAAACTTGTCCAAGCACTTTTTGCTGCACCCGCAGTTCACAGTTATTTCTTCCGCAGCTGCCGCCTCAGCAAGCGCTGGTTCTGCAGCCTGCGCTGGTTCTGCAGCCTGCGCTGACTCTTCGCCGAGGTATGATGCTGCAACTGCATCCACATCGAGTGACTCGTCCAAAAAGTGGTCTTCCCGATCATCGCCGTCTTCATCAGAGGAAGAGGATAGTTCTGACAACTCCAACGACAACTCCCTGTCAGAATCATCACTTGACTCGGCAATCTCCACTTCGATGCCCAAAAACTCTCTATCTAGCTCTGTCAAAGCTTCCCTGAGACTCGCATCAACGGTAAATGTTGGGATCGACATGTTTGCAAACAAATTTCTAAGCAGAACGAGAAAGAAAAATCTGAAGTGATGTTCAAAGATTTTCTCTTTGCAAGGGCAGCTCGCGGACGCGTAGCCTGCATGTCACGTACACCGTTCTCTGCCATGCGTGGGCCGATTGTGACGATCGAAATACGTACAGAAAGGCCACCAAAGCAGCTCTGCACTCGTTTTTACCGCATTGAATTGCACAAAACCCTTCTAAAGTTATTCCAAATCCAAGCGAATGCAGTCGAAAATCAGCGATTTTTCAAGTGCCCACTTTCAAACGCGTTGTACTCAACTGTCAGCTGACAGCCATTTGGTCCCTTTTCTCATCACAGGGCTCAATTATGAGGATGAAAAAAGTGTTTTAACCCTTTACCGGCAGCCCCATACTTGAATGCGTCGTAAACGACGCATTCGACATGCATACTAAAACCATGCCTGGTATGACAGGAAGCATCAGCCCACGGGGATTTCCCGTGGCCCTCACACAGCCTAGGTATGATCCTATCCGTAGCTGAAGAGATCTACGCGTGTCCCATTTGATTTCATTGAGAACTGCGCGATCGAAAATTTACGGAAATACACGCGCGCCGACAATGCCGTCTGCCTCCGTCAAAACATCGTCAGGTGCATTTCCTCTTGCGCAGTGAGTTCCTTTCGTCCTCAGATGACTTCTCCGACGAGGACCTAGCAGACCTTCGCTCTGGGACCCACGACAGATAGATAAATACTTCGTTCCAGCCGCCGATGCAAGCGAATTTCAAATTGCGGAGCGGAGCGCACGCCAAGTAAATTCTCACGCAAATATCGGGAGCTCCAGCCGCTGAAGACGATGTCGTCGTAATGTACCTGGAAGAATCTGATGGTGCTTATGGTGTGGAAGCCAAGGAGAGTGATCCCCGTGTCGACAGTCTTCCAGAGACGGAATTTTAGGCCATCGACTTTCTACGTACCTGAGTGACGGCAGCGCTGCGCGACTTGCGCACGACCTTACGGAGCCATCGGGCAGCGATTTTGGGGCGATGCTGCTCGCAATTGCGAGCGAGGCACGGCCACTGAAGTCTGTGATGGCTATGGCGTCCGTTTCCGCTCTGAAGTCGACTTGTTTTGGCAGTTTCATGTCAATGTCGGAATCTGACGATTTGCATTGTGTACAATTTCCGTGTTTAGACGTATAGGTGCCAATTTAGTAGCGTATGTATGTGGTATGTGAAAATAATTTTTTCCATCGTCAAGAAGTAGTACCAGACTTCCAAGAAAACATAACTTGCACTTACAAAATGTGCCCTCGTTGTGAGTTATTGGCATCCTTCTCAATGTTATGGATTTCATATACAAAATGCACTTGCCGGTAAAGGGTTAACTCCGAGTTTCACGCACTATTTATTTAGAGCGATCATTGGACAACAGTAACTCTGGATATTGGTTTATAGGAATATTCTTCAGTGACTAGTCCAGATGTAGCGGCCTTCGGTTGTACACTGTTTTAGACGATGTCAATAAATGAATGAAAGGTGCAGTAACAAAAATGGATAGAAGATGCAATAGTGAAGATGAGTTCTCGCACAACACTCGTCAGGAATCATGTTGTATCAGAAATCATGTACATGTACATGACTGGTATTAGATAACCCTTGCTTCAGTTCACATACACATGACATGTACATGTTGTTGGTTTGAGAGCATGAAACAAGGTGGAGGACACCGTGTTGGGAAACAGTGGATGGTTGTAGTAAGGTCACTGTTTCCGAACACGGTGTCCTCCACCTTGTCTCATGCCGTCAAACCAACAACAAGTTACATGATTGTACATGACTGTATAAGCAAGTTGATGGTGTCGCTATGGGTTCGCCTCTTGCTCCAGTGTTCGTAAAATCAATAATATTATATTTTGGGTTTTGTGAGCCGAAAAGTGACGAGTCTCTGTGGCATGATCATTGCATGCGTTTTGTGGATGACTCATTTGCCTTATTGACAGTGAAGATCGTAGCAGTGTGTGTCTCCATCCTGCCCTTCGTTTCACGTGTGAGCATGAACCGTCTAACAGTAACAAAGTCTCGTTCCTGGGTGTGCTTGTTGAGAAGACGAATCGTGATGTTCTAGCTTCGGCGCAATTATCGTAAACCCACATTTACTGGCCAGTGCATTGCTTTCGACTAGTATTGTTCCTCTCAGTCAGTATAAACCGCTGGCTACAAGCGAGGGTCCCTGGTTCGAGTCCTGGTGGTGACAGTCAATGTTTTCTTCAGATCTTTCCCGTTTGTGTCTTTCCCTCAAACCAGTGAATATATCAGTGCAATATACAGTAAAGAGAAACCTCATAGATCCAGCGAAGAGGATGTGTTGTTCCAGGAAGCTGCAGGAAGAACTTAACTTTCTCACGGTTCCTGTCTGTGCTCATGAATGGCTATCCGGAGTCCTTGTTGCAGAAGTAGTTGTCCATTGAACGCACTTAAAAGTCTCTGTTGGCTTGGTCCTGTTTGTAGTCCCGTCTATTTTCAGTGTACCGGTATGTTTGCCGTAGAAAGGACAGGAGGCGATCACACTGTGTGTCGTGCAGTCAAATCCGCCGTTCGTCGCACACACATGTACATGTACCTTGCAGCACACTCTGTACCCGTCTTTGCAACGATGCGTGCGTGCACGGACCGGTACGCGGTGCGGAAGGTTGTCCTGTCAACCCACCACCTGAGTCATTTGATCTACAACTAAAATTTAATGCCGACAATATGCATGTCGGTATGCTGGTAATACTGACCAGCACATAATTCAACATACACCACTGTCCTGGGGGGACTCCATACTTCCACTAAGCGCGCAGCAACTGAAACCGAAACGCGGAAGACCTAGGAAGCATCCATTACCCACACCAGCAGCTCTCATGGACGCATTCGTGTTCACTGCCACTGCTTGCTTCCAGCCGTTTGCATTGGTGGTGGAGGAGACTAGACCGCCTAGAGAAAGACGGATAGAGAGATAGGGCGAGCGAGAGAGAGAGAGAGAAAGAGAGAGAGAGAGAGAGAGAGAGAGAGAGAGAGAGAGAGAGAGAGAGAGAGAGAGAGAGAGAGAGAGAGAGAGAGAGAGAGAGAGAGAGAGAGAGAGAGAGAGAGAGAGAGAGAGAGAGAGAGAGAGAGAGAGAGAGAGAGAGAGAGAGAGAGAGAGAGAGAGAGAGAGAGAGAGAGAGAGAGAGAGAGAGAGAGAGAGAGAGAGAGAGAGAGAGAGAGAGAGAGAGAGAGAGAGAGAGAGAGAGAGAGAGAGAGAGAGAGAGAGAGAGAGAGAGAGAGAGAGAGAGAGAGAGAGAGAGAGAGAGAGAGAGAGAGAGAGAGAGAGAGAGAGAGAGAGAGAGAGAGAGAGAGAGAGAGAGAGAGAGAGAGAGAGAGAGAGAGAGAGAGAGAGAGAGAGAGAGAGAGAGAGAGAGAGAGAGGGAGAGAGAGAGAGAGAGAGAGAGAGAGAGAGAGAGAGAGAGAGAGAGAGAGAGAGAGAGAGAGAGAGAGAGAGAGAGAGAGAGAGAGAGAGAGAGAGAGAGAGAGAGAGAGAGAGAGAGAGAGAGAGAGAGAGACATACGGACAAGCAGACCGACAGAGAGACAGACAGAAATATAGAGGGAGGAGGGAGGGGTCGATTGGAATACATTGTTACTCAATGTTTCATACCTAACTAAGCAAACATCAAACACTGAGTACGTTTCAGGCAGTTTGTCAAACGTTCTTTGAAGGCAAAACACAGTAGTTGTTAAAAATCAGTCCTTTTTACATGATTTCTACACATCAGATTGTATACTACATGATGGCACATGTTTGACACATACACGTGTACTTGTAATGGCCAAGTCGTGCAGATCTGAGCATTACATGGCTATGCGCCTATGACCATATCCAAAGGGTCCAGCAACAAAGCATAATGACCCCACATGCATTGACCCAACTCCAGTTACACCGCTTGAGGAGTGGCGCAACCTCAAAGCCCAGCCGTCCGTGCACTCTGCGGTTGACCGCTCTTTGTTAACCTTTAAAAACGGATCAGGTTCTCGTCTTGGCTGAACACTTTTTTCAAAGTTTTTTGGTTTATTGTCGCCTACCTGTACCTGCACTCGTACCATCAGGTCGCCTAATCCCACTGTCTGAGCTCCGCTCCTTCGAAGCAACCAACGGGTCGGTGAATATCTCTACTATTAGACATGGTTAGCATTTTATCGTTCACGCTATTTTCGACGGTCGGCCTGTACCATTTTTTGTGTGTGTAGGCATGGCTATTTTACCGTTCGCGCTAAATCCAACGGTACTCGTACCCAACACCCAAAATACCGTCGGTTTGGTACCGTTTCGACGATAGAAAGCTCTGTTTAGCGGGAGAACGAAACGGTAAGATTCCAACTAGGGTAACGTCACAAGTCGATGTGTCAGAACTCAGAAACCGAAATGCTAACCATGTCTTGAACGTCTCCCTGCCCATGTCTACACACACACAAAAAACGATACAGGCCGACCGTCGAAAATAGCGTGAACGGTAAAATGCTAACCATGTCTATTTTGTCCATTTTACACAGTCTTGCAACGTTCCCTACTGTCCTGACGCTCGTGTAGACTGACTGTCTGCAGTCACTCCAACTGAAATCGATCCACTGTGGACGGTGGTTCACTAGGCAACTGTTGCTGTCGACTGCTGTAACTGTGGAGTTGTCAGGTTTCAAATCTTCTCTGCACGGCCGCCGATGCCGATTCGCACGCCGCGGGTTTGACAGGTCTATCCTGTATGTTGCTCTCTCAGTGCACTCATTACAGACGAGCCAATGAAGGGACAAAATGAGTCGAAGAAGAACGAGTTCGTATAATTTTCAATCAGCCCCGAATGACAATGGTGAAGCGTGAGTGAAGCCGTTTCACACCCTCGCAAAGACTGCTGCTGAACCCCGTCCGAAATAGTGCTCAACTAACGTGTTACTTCAGCTTGCTCGTTCACATGTGGCGGGACCGCTCATTTGCTTGTTGAGTCGTGTTCTCTCGTAACTGTAAATTGAATATTTCGTCGACAGGTCCCTTTTCAAGTTCAATGAGAACTCATTCACTGATTCAGCAATTTTGTTGGTGAGTTTCAGCTATGTCAATGCGTCATGTGTGTACGACGTGAGGCCAGGCGATCTGTGAGCGCCTCTGCGGAAGCGACTGGGAGATGAACCAACCACGAACGGCCACCAATCCAGTCCGTGCCGGTAAGAACCCCGCTGTTCGTCAGTCCTCGGTCCAGAACGGCGCGTCGCGGACTCACCGAAGAGATGGCTCGTTTCATCGGCAAGGCAGCAACGGCAGTGTCGGTGTGTCCGCCAATGTTTCTGCGGCTGCTGCTGTCGCTGCCAGCCGAGGTACAAGTACCGGTACAAGTAGTAGTAGTAGTGGGGTTGAGAAGAGTGCGTGGACGCCACTAAACCACGCTGCTACCAATCAACAGGTATGAGATCAAACAGTGAATTTCCAGTGTTAGTCAACGTACATATTTGTAAAGAAATAGGTGAGCATTGGGAAATGAAATAGGTCTCAATCTGCCCACAGAACGGTTTCGTCCTTTGTAGACTCATCAGCGCAGCACAGAGAAAATGAGGCCGAACCTGACGGCAATGAAAAATAAATTTTCCAAAGCCAGATTTCAGGCCCAAACGTACCTTGCCAGAGTGCTCAAACTGACAAGTCAGTGAGCTCTGCGTAATGCAAACAGCAAAGGCACTACCCCACATGAGAGTGCTCAACTGCAGTGAACTCCACCAGTTCCCAGTGATAATACACTACGATGCTATCGGGCGCCGAAGAAAGGAGTGCGGAAGAACGAACAGGCTAGACTGATTTCACCAAGCACAGCTCACAGCAAGTAACGAGGTTATACGATAACATCATCAGTTGAGATGCTTTGGCAAAGTCTGGGACTCACGGCACGGCGCTACACTTGCACTAGCGACTCACGCCGCATACCTAGCACCCATTAGAAGATCCGCTGACACCGGCACGGTGTATACTAAGGGCCCATTAGAAAACCAATGGGGCAACACCAACTCTCCACTCCGCCATGCTCAGTCAAGTGAAAAATCTGACAATTACGCTAGTGTGTCTTTTCATATTTTCAGTACACCCAACTCGAAACACAAAAACAGTCCTTGCATCATCAGGGCATCATCAGAGATCCCTGATGATGCCCTCCTGGGTGAAAATTTGGACAATTTCAACTGTACGTGGTGTAGCCAAAGGACTGTTTGTGTGTTGCGAGTTGGGTATACTGAAAATATGACAAGGCTACAGTGGAGTTTCAAAGTTATTAAAAAAAGTGTCTTTTCATGTTTGCTGTATCATGTTCATTTGCAGTTGTTCACAGAGCGCATGGCTCTACTACGCAATTGGGTAGGTTGCCGTGGCATCCTAACAGTGGATTTTGGTTGTGGTGGTGTTTGATGATGGTCATGCACAGAGACAAAGCTGCTCTGTATGAATGTATGCATTGCCAACAACTTAACAAGTCATGCTGTCTTCTTCTATTTTTAATTCTGCTCTACTGTCAAACGTGTTATATGCTGTGTGTGTGTGTCTGGCGGGGGGAGGGGGGGGGGAGGTTGTCGGTATGACGCCATGAAGATTAAAACCGGCTGTCTATCTATTGCTCTGTTTTCGTGTTCGGTGTGTGTTTTGTGCATGTTCACCCTGCAAGTTTACTAACTGGAGCGATGGACAGCGTGAGATCTGCCTATCCACTCTCATACCAATGTTCAACGCACATCAAGTAACCTACATCAATGCAGCGGTGGAGAGGCAAAGGTCCGATCGCGTCGATTTCACGCGAGTTCTTCCGCGTTGCATCTCAATCTATATCTTTTCGTTCCTGGATCCACGAAGGTAATGTCTCTCCTGAAAAGGGTACCTTGTTACCGGGGCTGCAAACAATACGCTTTTTGTTTGATTCCACCAGAGATAGAAGGGACTCCACATGGAGTAGTATTGTCATTTTCGAACCCCTTTTAAAATGTGCTTGTACTGTACACTACTATTACTGCGTGTTCATGTTGTTCCGTGTGGAATATCATTGTTTGCAATGAACAAGCTGCAGCTGGTGGCTGTATAGCAAACTTCCCAGTTATCCCTTGTCTACACCTGGCTTGGTGTCTCTAGATACTGTAGATTAGCTAGGTTGGGGATGCTTGAACTGCACCTTTTCTACTACATGTACAGAAGAAGAAGAAGAAGAAGAAGAAGAGGTTAATTGTGTGTTGCTCCCTATGTGGAAGCTTGCGCTATTCCTGCCGACTTGAATTCTCACTTGACTGATTCAAGACTGCCATCCAGACTACTGCTCAATGAAATCCAGTCGGGTCACTCAAATGCGTGCCGGGCGTGACGCAGCCCTAGACCAGCGAACAATGGGCTACGGACTGGTGCCAGGCGTAAACTTGAGCGACGCATCTTGATTTCATTGAGCAGGACTGTACTTGAACCCTTAGTCTTTGACTGGGCTGGCAATGCCTTTTATATTACAAATCAAAATGCTCTACGGGAAGTATCTAATGGTCTGGGCAGCCCTCGTGTATGAAGCCCGGCGGAACTGGTCTGGTTGGTTAGCCCATGGTGGGACGGTCAACTTTTTGGCCAACGGCGTGTGTTAACTACTGCCGGAGGAGGTCATGTGTGTAGTGCATCCCCCCCCCCCCCCCCCCCTATCATATACAAAGAATGAAAGGCTAGGGTATGACCGGACTAATCAAAACCGGCTTCCACCAGCCCTGTGCATCGAAATCAAAATTCACTGTCAAGTAGCCTGTTATCCGTCTTTGAACGAGGCTCCTGTAGATACTGAAAACTTGTTTTGCCTTCTCTGTATTGTTGTTGTTGTTGTTGTTGCTGTTCAGCTTGTGCAGGTGTTGCTCAGTATGCTGGTATTGGAAGCTGCTGTGCGACATGGACGCACTGTGGGCTCCGAAGTGCGCGCGCTTCTCCTGGCAGCTGCCCTACCAGCCCAGCGAGTTTGAACAGGGAGCGTGGAAGCGACTGTACGTCATGAAGGTCGACACTCTGCGGTTGACAGCGGCGGCAAAGAAGGCAGCGGAAGAGGAAGAAGCTGCAGCCAAGGCGGCGGCACGGAGGAGAAAAGAGCAGGCGAAGAGTAGAAGGGCGGCGTCACTAGTGCAACCGCCAGCTAAGCCACCTATCTGGCGTGACCCGGACCCTAAGCCGGCCGACTTGGAAAAGCTGTCCAGGCGGCTGCACAAGGACCCTAAACTGTCGCGGTAAGACTTCGAGTGTGTTGGCACGCTGCGTGTACTAATGTTTGGTGATCTGTGCATGATCAAGAGGGGTAAGCAGCAGCATTCAGTGGTGTGGTGGTTGATCTGTGTATGCCTGCGTAAAGTCGAACTATTCTTTGGAAGGTCAGTGCTTTGGACAAACTCACCGGGGTACTCATTGAGTCTGTACTGTACAATTAGCTGCTCAGCTGTCAATGGACAGTTATTACACAGGGGCGTCACCCGTGAGGGGCACGGGGGGCACGTGCACCCCCCTAAAAAATTCGACCTTGGTTTTTTGCGAACTCCTGGTTATGATGAAAAGCGTACTGCATGCTGCGGCTGCGTGCTGGATGTTTGTTTGAAACAGAAGAAGTCAATAATTCAGTGTGGTCGCAAGTAAGTTAGTCAGGTCACCAGTCTCACCACACTTGAAGAGTCTTTGGAGCTGTTTCCTCTCAAAATGTCGTCTTCTCGAAAAAGGAAAGCGTCTGGCCAGCTCACTATCAGCGAAATTTTTCGGAGGAATGCGAACCCAGAAGTGAGGCGAGGCGACGAAGCCATTACTGTTGCAGCTGGGCCAGAGGAATCGGACGATGAGGGACCTGACGAAGAACTGGCATGCGGCAATGCTGTTATGCTTCGATATCGATTGCCCTTCTTTACACTGTCACCCATTTATGACTATGCACTAGCGCTGCAGTCGACCGCCATGAACTGCTCAAGCTATTTTTCGGCAAGACACCCCCAAGGCGAAGAATAGTGTCATACTCAATTTTCCTGTGCAAAATTCCTGTGCATCCCCCTGTGAAGGGGTCCGGTGACGCCCCTGTTACAGCATTGAATGGCAAGAGCAATTGGTGCTCTGCACTTCTACGGGACGTTATGGAGTTGAAATTTGCATCATTTGTAATTCCTTTGATACTGCTTTCTCAACCCAAGCTATCGGCCTTTCTCAGTCTCAATTGTCTTTTTCGGTATGCACCGCAGTAGTGCTGGTGTACTGCATGCAGCATACATTCGTACAGAAAACCCCATCTGCACTAGTGCCTACTCTTGCCCTGCACCTGCATAGGGCTTGAAAGTGCTACGTCACTCCATAGCAATGGCATAGCAACAATTTGAAAAATTCGAAAACTGGATCCACCTGGATCCAGTTTTTGTATGGATCCAAGCACATTTCAAGCGGTCTCACTCACAGCAAGGTGATGTTGCCAGTGAAACTGACTGATTTGGCTAGTGGGGGCGGGGAGACAACTGGTGGCGAAGTAAAAGTTGCACCTGCATACGACATGAGTGGGTTGCTATGCACCCACATACTGAGGCAATAGCAAAGTCACACCTTAGTGGATCCAAAATAGAAATCTGATGTCAATTTACTACTCCCAGGCCGTTTTTGACGTCATCACTTTCAAGCCCTATTGTCTCCTGTCCTGCTTTGACAACTCTCCCCCCCCCCCCCCCCCCGGTATTTTGTCTCTGTGGGGCTGTGCACAAGCATGTCTCCTAAACAAATCTCATGGTGGAGACACACTGAGGCATGTACGAAAGTACACTTCATTTCAGGGGCATTCAGTTCTCAAGTACTAGTTTAGTACAGTAAAACCTGTGACTAACGACCACCCCTTGGTGCCAGATAAAGTGGTCTTTAGTGGCAGGTGGTCCTTTGTTAGAGGTTTGCACCGCACAACCATAATTATTATATGAATGTGAGATCATCCGTGCCTGGCGAAGTGGTCTGTAGTACCAGGCTGGTCGCTCGTCACAGTGGTCTTTAGTTACAGGTTTTACTGAACATGCATCACCATTTTCCCCTCTTTCCTGAATTCAGGACTGGAGATCACTCGCCGTCGCAAGCACCGTGCATTCCTGGCCAGACCGCGGCCGTCGGACAGGCAGCCAGCGACACGAACAAAGCGCTGATGAAGTCGGGACCCGTCGACTTGGCGGCCATCTCGCAACCGACTAAGGCCAGCACTTACCGACGGTACAACGCAAAAGACGACATATCGTTCTACGGCAAGACGCTTGAACCACGCCGAGGCAGCAAAGCAGGGGCTACAACCACTGCACAGGACCGGCTCAAGACATTCAAGCGCATCGAAAAGCACCGTCAAGCCGTGGTGGAAGCCGTGAAGAAGAAAGAGCACGCCTCGCCGGGACCCGTGGAAGCCGTTATGGATCAACCTGAAGCTGGTAGATCCCCAGATGCAGGGAGCGAAGCACTCGTAGATGGTGACGAGACCGCTGACCCTGCCACAGAGTAACAACAAGCGTGTTTGTACGTTTAAGTACAATGCACACACAACACAAGCCTTTACTGCAAACTAACTTGTGCGCTATGCAAATATTACACGTGACTGAATACATAATATCTTGATGCTGCTACTCGTTTCAAAGTAGGGCGCCGTTACTATTAGCAGAAAGTGCGAATGAGATATCCCGCTTGTTGACTGATTCCACCACGATTTGATGTTGAGAAGGAGTCTCTTTTTGGCATAGCCTTCCCTTTTATTGCAGACACTTCAACTTGCAGAGGAATGATAAACAACCCTTTGCAGTGGACAGTTTTGCTATGATTACATTTATAATTAAAGCGAAAAGATAATGTTCTAGATTTGGTCCCGGTATTTTACGACTTCATGGTTCCGGGTAGCTAAACTGGGATCACAGGAGATGCCCAGCAAACTAAGAAACATTTCACGTTTCCTGTCAAGCAATATTGGAGACAAATTCTAAAGGCGTGTTTGAGTGGTGCAACCCGGAACAGGATTGTTTAGACCAGTCGTGTTTGATTGGCCGGCACTGATTTTGGAGTGCCCAGAACATAATTCTCAACACTCCGGGGACCCCAGCGGCTGGAGCAGCCAAACAGTGATAGCCTTAAAAAAAAGTTGTGAAACTTTGTGAAACCCAAACTGAAAGAAAGCGCAGAGTGATGATGACTGCACTCTATCTAGCAGCAATATTGGTTTTTCTGTTTCTTTGGTAACCCTTTCTTCCGACAGATCCAGTGCAACATTAATGATAGGAATCTGCCAAACCAGACAGACCAACCGAAAGTAAAGTACCCTAATACCGCCGTTCATGCATGTACATGTACAATCATGTAGTTCAAACACGTGAACGGTTAATGAATGTGATGAATAAGGAGTCTGAGACATGAGCCTTAGAATTGTCTTCATCAACTTGTCGAACAATTTAAAAAAAAGAGATGACTAGTATTTTAAGTGATCCAATACTGGCAACAGAACGGCTTCTATCAGTTTAGAGGTTTTCAGTGGAATGGTTATGACGATAATGACGTCCGATTAGATCGACCATTTCGATGTACATGTAGCTATTCCACACTCTTCGGAACTAATCCACCTCTCCCATCGGATGAGGTTGTGGAGTTTCGAGGAGTTTTGTTTTTCTGAAGAGGCGAATAATAAGGCCACCTCTTCAGAAAAACGGAACTCCTCGAAAAGTCAAAGAGTGACAATTCGAACGCGCCCTTAGTCTGCAACTAACGTGCTGCTTGTACATGTACTTGTAGTCTATAGGTTATCCGATTATCGGTAGGTCTACATCTGATGATCAGTTGCTTCGACGAATTCGCGGCACAGCGCGATGCAGCAGCTTGCGCGAAGCAATGGAATCCACCGATCTCACACTGCTGAGTGAGTTGCGTCCAATGGTCTTACTAGTCTCGTTATTATCCTGTAGTTTTCGACATTCTTTGTTGCCAGGGACATGCATGTGACTCGCGTACATCATCAGACTTCGTTGCAATTTCCATCCCCTCATCGTACCATGCATTCCGCACCTGAGCCTTCCAATGTGAAGGTTTTGGCTCGCACTTCGCGGATGTGTTGGACCTAGGTCACTGGTGTCAGGTCGTTTAATGTCTCATACCCCAGTCAGTTTTGCGGTCTGCCGACATTAGGATTCGTCAAAAGCAAGAGCCATGAAGCAGTGGAGAAAGGAGTGCTTTTTTCATTTTAGCAATATTTTTAATTCGACTGCTGATTTCTTTGTGCCATCTCCAGTCGGACTGTCACAGAGTTGATGGATTTTTTCTTTTGCCCCGACCAGACCACACGGCGCTTGCAGACCTCTGCAAGAACAGTCCACCAGCCACACTCCACGCATGACGCTTGCAGACACCAGCACAAACAGTTCAAACAAAGAACCTACATGTACCGCAAACATGACTTGGGTCATCACAAAACAATAGAGAGGTTTTAAGATACACGTTCTTTCTGACGTGATGCGAAAGTTCAGCTCGCGTTATTCGCCTGAGAAACGAAAAACAACGCGAGTGACCTAGTACCTGCAGCTCACGTGAAAATTTGGAGTTTTACGCCAACTTTGACGTGAAATTGCGCGTCGTGTCGGAAATAACGTGCATCTTAACCTCTCTAATGTTAGTAATGATTATCACAACTAAACACGTGAAAAAGAACAAGGACAGATCTACACCGCAGATACTCCGTTTCAAGACGGATGTTATTGTAGTGAGCATACAGATTTATTATTTTCGAGCTGGGAATGTGAACATAGTAAAGACATACGTGATAGTAGATGCAAGAGAGTACAGAAGAAGGGAGGCCGCGGATGAGAACGTAGGAGCATGTATCAACTATCATGCATGCGTAAAATCAGATGGTGGATCAGTCCAGTAATGGCAGTATGTATCAGTAGACATAGCCTTGTGCCATCTCGACACACCAATGAATCGAACATTTCCAGTCACGTGATCATTAGCCATTCATCTAATACTAGAAAATGTTTGTGAGGTACAAGGTGAAGATGCAACAATGGTAAAGACGTGAATGACGTAAAGACGTGGATGGGGGTCCGTTTTCTACCTTATCATGCAATGTCATGCAGTTAGGATGGTGTTGAGCTGCGGACATTCCGCACAATGCACAGAAATATGAACGTGAATCATGCAGGGACAGCCTGGATGTGGGACTAACTCCAGCGGATGGTCTATCAGATAATAATGTGAGGAGATGGCATTGCGTTACCATGCACACGGTTCAAAACGAGCAGCCCGGACGCGCATTCTGGATGGAGACAAGAGCTGGTTTTGTGGTGGAGATTATCATGCTGAAATGCACTGCTTTTCCCATGCTGTGCATACACTCGGTGGCTGTGTTACTCCATCCTCCTGGCCTTTGCTTAGGAGTGTTTCTTCTTGTCGCATAGCTTGGCGACTAGTCTCCGACACGGAATGGTCAGCAGCTGCAGCAGAGTGAAGATGATCGAGAAGGCCACGAACCGCGGTCGCGTGGCCACGTAGAGAACGCCAACGGAGACCGACAGCATAGCGGGCGTGTTGTGCATGATCTGTGTTTGTATAGCAAGAGCCAGGGCCAGCGCTACGCAAATGGTGCTGTGGTTCGTGATATCCACGTAATCCTTGATGAATTCGGGAATCACGAGACGGCTGAGAAACAGTGCCAAGAAGAATTGCACGGCCACGAAAATCAGATGATAGTAGAGATCCTCCAGCATAGGTGACATCCACTCAAACTTGGAGGCAAAGCTATCACTCATAGATTCGGTCGCCCTCGCGGCTGTTTTGGGAGGCGACCCTCTAGCTTGCGTCCTGGGTTTTGCGCTGCCCGATGCCGGCTGAGGGGCTTGGCCCTGCTGCGCCTGTAAACAGAGAGCAGAAAAACTGAATTATCACCTTCAGTACAATAATAGTTCAATCTTGCCTAGTTTGTGAGATATCACCGCCAGGAGGTCGATTTCAGTATTTTGGGATTGGGTGACTGATTGTTGTTAGGACAGCTAGCTGTGGCAGGCCACACGCCTCTCGCTCATCCCACACATACACATACACATACATGTACATGCAGACGTAACTCAACCTTCGGCCATCTAGCCGAGTTTCGACATTGTTAGGTGTCATCAGGCGAGCTCAGAGTGGCCGGACCGGACTGATCGCAATGACGTCCAGCAATACAGTACCTGATACAGTGATACCCGTCTAAGACGACCGCTCAAGGGACCTTCAAAAAGTGGTCTCTGTTACCAGGTGGTCTCCTTATCCAGGGTCATTTGACTGGATATAGCATCCCTCGGTCCTGGTTTCAATGGTCTTCTTGGACAGATGGTCGCCTTATCCGAGTGGTCGCCTTTACAGGTTTTACTGTAATAACAATACATTTGATGACGATAAGAGAGAGTTGATGAGGACCTTGCTCACCAAATCGAGCTCTCGACCACCTCCCGACCCCATGGCTAGAGCTGACTAGGGAGCCCATCAAATACTAGAGACCGCAAGGTGAGTGAAGGGAGACATGAAAAGGAGACCGATTACAGACGCACTGATATACCCAATGACTAAACCTTACACAGTGCAATGGGCACCGACATTTTGGCTGCGATACTGCACTGAACTTACGTCGCCAGTAGGCATGGCGGGTTTCTGTTCTGCCTGCAACATAGTGGTACGATGGTTTGCTCGTGACGTGTGCTTCGTGACTGCGCTAGCGTTCGCCCTCTGTTAGAACCGTGTGTGCCTCTCTCCTCTCCTAGCTCTTCTTCTACCTCTTTCGACGGTGAACCTCTGCTCCGGCCCTGTGCTGCAATACCCAACTCTATCTCAAACTGGGATTGTCTCTCTCACTCAGTATCCCTCACACCAATTCTCCAGCTCATTCAACGCTGCTATTGTCCTGGCGAAATTCTCCACTGACATCGACTGCCCTGCTCAACGCGCTCTAATAGGTATCGTCCAGTCAGGTGTGGTCTTGGCTCTCATACACACTGAACTCCTTTTCACTCTGGATCACCTACGGAAAATATATACTGCAGGACTGATGACCTAACAAGGTCGAAACAGCTAGATGTCCGGAGATTAAGTACTGAAGGAGAAGCAAGTTGCCCGATGGAACAGTGACCCTAGGAAGTGGCAAACGCATCCACGGCATCCTTGATCCCGCAGTGGCTTCCTCGCGAGCACACGGCTTGCAGACGACAGCCCACTCGGAAGCAACATCAGCAATTACTAACTTCTGGACGTGTGTAGGCGCATCAGCATAGACCTCCTACCGGTATAGTACGTCATGTATACCCCGTTAGTGTTCGGGAAACGTCGATAAATGCCCCAATGTTGCAATTCATGACCAGTACTTGCAGCTGGGATGTTCATATTTCCCCTGACATCAGGCCGGTCGGTTGCCTTGTGACGGTGGAAAGCTCAAACGTGGTAGTCGAAACAGCCGCCAGCTCTCCTCTCGCGCTCTGCTATGTGAATAAGTTCCTCTTCATTTCACAGTGTTAAAACACGCGTCGAGCAGCGGAACACCCAATGCATTCGCAGAATTTGTTTAAAGCTAGTGCAGATAGCTGGTATACCACTGTAGGCATTGGCGGATAATGCTCGAAAAGGTGGCAGATTCTGCTCGAAAAGCAGTGAAATTGGCAGAACCATACAAACCTTATGGCGGGCAATTCCTCGAATTCTGCTCCATTTCTTCATCCACATATCAAACATGCATGAAACTTACCAGAAAAGTACTGAATTCTGCCAATTTTTCTCCCGGTATTATCCGCAAAGGCCTATATACCAGGCATGGTGGCAGCCTGACACAAGGGAAACTTCCTATAAGCTGGTTGTGTTCTTCAACACTATTATAATAGTCGGTGGTAACGCGAACGTGTGAACTTTACCTCTATTTTTCAGTGCCGATGGCTTACCTTGTGCTGTGAGGTATCTTTCCGTTTTCTTGCCTCACTCGCCTTCGTCTCGCCCAGCAGAGCCTTTATGGCCGCACTGCTGGTGTCAATATTGACGTCAGCGACGTTGTCACCACCAGTCTGTACGAGCAGGCCAAAATATGTTACACGTACATATACTAGTATGCGCAGGGAGTTTGATAAAGCCGTGCATATATGGGGGGTGTCAGAAGTATCAAAAACGACGAGGGAGTTGCCACCTTTCTCGTCATCAGCAAATATGTAAGTCAGTAATAATAATTGCCCTTCGCAGCTCAACTGAAGTTGAATGGCTATTTCCTTCGAAAACGTGTTTAGAACGAGAGAGAAATACTGACAGAGAAAGAGACAGACAGACAGAGATGGAGAGACACAGATAGAGAGAAAGAGTGAGAGAGGGACAGAAAGCGATAGATTCAGACAGACAGACAGACTGACTGACTGACAGACAGACAAACATACAGAAAGAGAGACGAAAAGACAGACAAAGTGAGCCTGGGTAAGAGAGAGGGGGAACAGACAGATTGTGGTGTTTGTGTGTACCTGGTACCGCTAGCTGACAAAGATTATGAATGTTACAAACATGTGAAAACACATCTCTGGTACATACCCGCTTGGAGGTAACTCTCTTCTTTTTGCCATCTGCATCACTACTTCTACTGCAGATGTTGCTATTCGAGTCGCTCTTCTCGCCGCTGGAGCTCTCACTGCTACTTGAGCTGTCGCCGGCAGTCGTCTTGTCGTCGCTTACAGCGCCCCGGCTCGGTAAGGCATCTCTGCTAGTCGAGGATGCATCACCATCGCCAGTGGCGACATCCCTGCTCTCACCGGCAGCTCCGGGTAGGACGGCTGTTGCAAGTTGAGAGCTGGGAGAAGCTTCGCTAGCTGTAACCATGGCAATATTGCTAGTTACTGGCTCGACTTGGTTCCCTTTGTCTGGATTTCCGGAGGCCTTTGGTGCTGGGCCAGCGGCGAACGATACTGCCTTCGCTGTGGGCTTTAGGGACTGGAGATTAGACAGAGACAACTCAAAAGGTAAATTCACAGAGGCAATTCCGCCTTAATGTATTCATTAATGTGAGGTAATGGTGCAAACAGGAAAATCTGAAGACAAACTTGAATGTCACCACCAGGACTTGAGCGAATGGCCCTCGCTTATGGACAGCGATGCTCTAACCACTAAGCTATGGTGCATTAGAAATGGTCTGAAGTTAATATGAAGCCAGTCCTGCTGCGATTTTCCCCATCACTGTGCAAATAGAATGAACTCATGTCTTCGTGTTGCAAACTTCAAAAGCGTCTTTTCTTGCTTGATTGTACATTTGCACTACTTGAAGTAGACGATGAGATATTTTTTGTTTTCTTCGGACCTTTCTAATTCTGTCAACCGTGACAAAGTCTTCACGCTCATGACAATCTTCGCACACAACTAGCACAGTACATTGTATACGAAACGCTACAGCTCGCCATCACCCTATGGCAGCCTGGATTAGCACTTGTGGACGCCGGTGTATGCAGCTATAATCTTCGGCTTACTCAATGCTCCAGACAGCTACCCGCTTCGACCTTATCAGGTCTCATCAGCGGGGCTCCGTGTGACTTCCCGGTCTATCGTCACCGGGGCTACGAGTATACGATTCCCGGTGTCATGGCTAACTTTGTTATAGGTATTTGTATACGACAGGGAAACAGGCAGCTAGGATAGTGAAGTAGATGATTGAAAGAGCAACAGCACATTGCTTAACAACAACGTATACCTACACGAACTAGAGCACGAGCTGCCATGTTCGAATGGGAATTCCGAATGCAGAACCACTTGCACTGCAAGCACATGCACAGAACGAGCCGGAGCGGCACTGGAGCCTCCAATCCTGTCCTGCTGTCCTTCCCGGCTGATGCTGCTGCCCCAGACACCACTACAACACCTACGAACAATACAGCACGGTCCGTCCTGCCGCAGCAATCCTCCACCACGTCGTGGCAGCTAAATCCTTGTTTCTGCAAGGGACACTAAAGGGGAGACTTTGCAAAAGTTGACAAACAACGTCCAAGGAACACACATCTCTAAATTGTGACATGCGAATCATACAAGGCAGAGTATCCGACTATCCGTGATTTTAATGCAGAGAGGATGTGATTGGCACGATTAGGCCATCGCGTCGATATAGCTGAATAGGTTAGTTGTAGCGCTTACATCCGGCTTTAGAACTAATCACACTTAGTACATGTACATGTACATGTACATGAACATCGATTGTTAGATTGACAGCATATCATGTACATAGATGCATCTAACTAACTTCGGACTTTGCGTGATAGCGTATTGGGCGCTAGTCTAGTGTGAATTTTAAGCACAGATCAGGCGCAGACAGCATCTATTTTGGCAGTTCATGTCGGCTGAGAGGTTGTGTGAGAGTCTTCCAGAGCCCGAAAGATGGGCCGTATTGTGTAATAAGTGTGTTCGACCATGTGAAACGCTCTGACGTGGACATTCATTTCCCTCGTTTCCAGCAGCTCGTTGTTGTAGCCGTGTCAGCTGGAGCTCGCTTCCTGCCACTCACACCATGCCCGCGTGCTAAGAAGAATCGCACTAGCAAGGCCTGCTTCAAATGGCTGACGTATGGTGTGGCAACCGACACACTGGGTGCGCCTGGCCTCCAGCGTTTACCACCAGAGAGAACCCCCGAGTCATCATCGTCATACTACGAGCAGCAAAAAAAAAACTTCAGAGCCTCAACCGTTATGCTAAGGTCTTGGCTTTGAGTGATAACAGTGAGATGTAACGTAAAGCAATGTTTCGTCGGGGCCTCTCCTACATGTACATGTATGTCCTTCACTCCAAAGTATTTTTCATCATCGATACTAATGGGAATGCTCAAGTAAATAATAAAATACAGTACAAAAATGCCTGTAATGGTTCTTTGGGAGTTGCAAGTAACACCGAAACCTTTATATTGTACTTAGAGGAATGCCTTCTCCCCGTGTGTCAAAAACCCTAGGGGCCGATATCGAGATCCTGTCGGGCCCCGTCCGAGGTAAGAGTGTAGACTTGAAACTCCTCGCCAGTGAAAGGCTCCAATGGGAGACGCTTCATGGTTACCCCACTGCGGGCATCCTTGTGTAGTCGATGTTCTATCGAGTACATGATTGTACTGCTGTACATGTTCATACGGAGGAGTCGTAAAAGCCCGGGTTTTCACGTCTCCTCCACACATACCATCACAAAGACAGGCGCATGATTGCGTACACGATTCTGATGTGTTACACGAAGGTCAACCACAACCGGTATGACGATAGCGTATTGCAAACACATCCCAAACGTCTTTCTTGGACGACCTGAGCCCACGATCCGTCCAGCGGCAGGAGAGACAGGACGCACTGCTTATCTCCGCTATCGCCTCAAACGTTCGTAACCACTCGTCGAGTCGACATCGAAGGTGAGTAGACCTACAGGCGTGGAAAGCACGGACAATTCACGCCCCAATCATCAGCGGCTATGTCTCTCTCCTTTCCTGCTCGCACTGAACTCTGCAGGCTACTTTAGCTGTTCACACTCTCTGTCCACTCGAAGCCCGTGAGTATAATAACTATGTCTAGCAGTAGCTGAAAGGCATATCGGTAGGTGCTAGCCGTAAGCTGCCCGCCAGTGAAGTCACAGACTTCGGCGGGAATGAAGCTGTAATTTTGGCACGAAACCCAGAGCTATGGCCCAGCTATATCGCATGGGCAAGACCTAATGCTGGCCTCTAGCCCCGTTCATTTCAGTATTGCATTCAATGACGAAGGAAGGGTGTTGCTCTGCTTGTTCTCTTTCTAGTTCCTCTACACAAAACACTCTCTCGGCATTGGAGAGAGTAAACCTCTTTGTTTCGTTTCCCCTGCGCAGCACAGAACGCATTGACCGTACTCGTAGTTGAAGGTGTAGAGAACCTGCTTGAAGTCTTGAAGAGTCTGAGTCCTGTTCTGGACATTTCAGTGAGCAGCCGCCAGCTTCCTACTTGTAAGTTAGTTATGCTTCCGCCAAGTGCACACCCTCGCAGAGAGCTAGCCTCTGACTTCTGAGGTCAGGTAGTGACATTATCTCAGTGGCCTGCGCTGCAGTGGATGTTACTGCAGGTGTTTTAGTGTTACTCCTGTGAGTCCTGGCCAATGAACAACTGTAGCCACCGCTACTCTACGCCATGGACCAGCCGACAGCAAAATTTAGTCGCAGAATTCGGCCGTTGCGGAGAGCGAGTAGAATTCCGAAGAATAACTTAGCAAAGAAAGAGCGAGTTAACTACCTTCTCCTTTCCGTATGCGTATACTTGGACAAACACTGGCCGAATTCCGTTCAGAATCCTGGATTTTCACGAGTTCATGAATAATGAACGGAACTGGAGGCAAAGCCAAGGTAAGGGCGATGATGCAATGTAGGCAAAGTGACTTTGGTGCAAAAAAATGGACCATGATTGTCTCTGAAGTTATTTAGCTCTCAGGAGAATTTACCGGCATCAGGGTGGAGTTTTTGGATTAGAGAAGAGGCCTTACTTGCACGAAATCAAGCAAATACTGGTTTGCTAGTACATGTACAAGACTGAAGGGCCAAATCACGAAATTTGTTGCATCGTATATCTACTCGGGAGTCGTACTGTGCAAATAACCTACAGGATCATGGAAAGAACTGCGTGAAAAGTGCATACAAATGTGAGATATAGTGCAGAAAACTACAAAAAACGCGGGAAAAAGCGGATTTTGCTGAAAATCGCGGGTTTGGGCCAAAATCGCGAAATTTGTTGCATCCGTGGAATCGCGATTTCCTGGAGGGTCAGCGTTATGCATGCCCCGGCACAAACATGCAAATGCAGGAAGATGTCCGAATAGGCCGAACTCTTTGAAACCCGTTACCACTGTTGCTAATACCCTTGGTTAATGTTTCATGTATCCCTATCTTGGAGCTTGTGGTTTAACCTGATAACTTCACGACACGATGCTGACCCATTGTTCTGGGCACGCCAGAAACGCATAATTGACCTTGCACTCGACAAGCCTGCAAATTGGCACGACACCCTGCTCATTGAGCAGTTAAGTTGGTTTGGACGAGAGCAATTTAGGAAAAATAATGACCTTATGTTCCTGATGCTCGGTGAAGTCCAACCAAAAATGTTTTTTGTGTAATGCAGCGGATTACAGAAGGATAATGCTCGACAAATTGGCAGATTCTGCTCGAAAAGCAGTAAACTTTGGCAGCAAACCTTGCGTCAGCGACTTCCTTGAATTCTGCTCCATTTCTTTATCCACATACTAAACATGCATGAAACATACCAGAAAAAGTACCGAATTCTGCCAATTATTCTGCCGGCACAATCCGCCAAGGACTAGGGGTCAAGTTATTTAGCAGGAAAAGCGAGAACTCAGCTACAATCTACTCGTGCAGTGTAGTTGGGAGTAGGGGGTACATTTTATTTGTCTTCAAGAACGGTCCACTCGCCTCCATTGCGAATCAAAAAAGCAACAACGAACTATAGAGAAAAGGGCAGAGGGCAGCTTTATAAGTCTCGTAGAAAATCCTCTCTGAGAATGAATGTGTTGTTCTAACAGCCAAACTACACATCTCGAAGTCGAGAACAGTGCAAAGTGCCATACTGATGAACACGCCCAATATGCAGCACCGAGGAGATAGGATGTAAATGCACTCCCTGGAGATCAAAGAAGTGTGCTGCATTCGATCCGTTACCAAAGTTCATCCTCAGGCTGCGTTTACACGACAACGATTAAGAACGATTTGCGTTTACACGACAACGAAGTAGGACCTTAACGGAACGAAATCGTTGCGTTTACTACTATCGTTTACACGACAACGCCCGAAAACGATACCTAAACGGAACGAAATGGAAACGCACTTCAAAGTGTTTTGAAACGTTTTCAAAACGTTTTCGGTCTCGTGTAAACGGTGAAAACAGCGAAAACGATTGGAAACGGAGCGCGGTCATGGAAACCATTCCGCGCGTGACAATATTTCGCGGGAAATACCTGACCTTTGCGACCACCAGCACGTTCCAACTCCAACTAACGTGTTACTTCCCGCCCTTGCGCCAAGCCAGCACGTGCTAACTCCAGCCTGATCGCCCGTTTTCCGTTTTCGTGTAAACGGTTCAAAACGATTTGCCGTTCTCGTGTAAACGGTTTGAAAACGATTCGAGGCCAGCCCGTTTTCGCCCCGTTTCGTTCCGTTTCGTTTCGTCTCCGTGTAAACGCAGCCTCAGAAAGGATTTGCTACGAAACTCAATTAGCTTTTCCATACGAATTGAAAATTTGGTTTGAAACAAGGAGTCGTAAAATACCAGCGACTACCTGGTTTCAAACAGCAAGCAAAGATTTTGCACCAATTTTTGTTGCCCATGTCTCGTAGCAAGTCCTTTCTGATGATGGGTTTTAGTAGCAGATCTAATGAAGTAAAATGCCTGCGGTCTCCCACAAGAGTGCAATTGCATTCACACTGACGGCTCAGTGCGCGGATGTAGCCATAGGATATTAGGATGTAAAGAAGGTAGTGTACCGTGCATGGCCCATAGAAAATAGATAACTGTTGCAATCTTGTCTATGAACTCTTGCCAGCCTACATGAACCTGATGAGAAGGCAGTGGTGACATTGCCTTTGGAATTTTGCTGGTCAACAAGACCGTCTCTGAGGGTAATGGTTCATAATAATTCTTACACAAGCGCCGGACGTGAAGGGCTGTGAAGCTGTAACTTCAGGTTTCACGCAATTGAGCAATCCTCGCACAGAGCTGCATTTACTTATTACGGATTTGAGTGTAAGAACAAAAGGTCTGATTGACTATGGCAGCAATATTCTTGATCAAAGTTAGCGATAAAACCTAGTGCTGTTCAATGAAATCCGATGAAACACTATGCACACGTGTTGGCTGTGAGGTGTGCTTTTACCGTATGTCAGCGCCTTTAAAGCCATGGCCTTATATTCGAAACACCGCTGCTTTCCTAGATATTTTAGATGCAAAATGACTCGCCCACTACGCCATGCCATAAAAGTCAAAGTCCACACAGATATTTCAATCTAAATCTACTTGTTCACCCTTCCTGCTGGGCTGTAAGTTTGTTAGCATAGTACTTATTCCTTAATCTTTGCAAAATATACTTCTAATGT